TTACCAACTAGGCAGAAACCCCCCCCCATCATAGCCACAACCCACCCCCATCATAAATCATCCACCCCCATCACAACTCCATCACAACCCCCATACAACCACAACCCAATCCCAAGACATCCACCAACTAGGCACAAACCACCCCGATTATGGCTCCATCACAACCCCCACACAGCCATAGTCTAGTCCCAAGTCAACCACCAACCAGGCAGAAGCCACCCCCCATCGCAGCCACAACCCAATCCCAAGACAGCCACCAACCAGGAAGAAACCACCCCCCATCACAGCTACAACCTACCCCACATCACAGCTCCATCACAACCACAACTCACCAAAGCCCAGCACAATAAGCCTTCACATGCCACCAAGAAGCACATCACCCACGCCCACCAACACAGCCTCCAAAGCCATCAACAGGCACATCACCCACACCCACCAACACAGCTTCCACATGCCACCAAAAAGCACATCACCCGCGCCCACCACCACAATCTCTAAAGCCACCAACACACACACACACTCACATGCCACCACCAACCCACAGACCCAAGTCCAGCACAACAAGCCTCCACATGCCACCAAGAAGCACATCACCCACACCCACCAACACAAGAACTAACAGGCACATTACTCACACCCACCAACACAGCCTCCACATGCCACAAGAAAGCACATCACCCACGACCACCAACATCTCACATGCCGCCAACAAGCACATCACACACACAGTCACATGCCACCACCAACCCACAAGCCTAATCCCATGCACAACACAACCAAAGCCACCAAGAAGCACATCACCCACACCCACCAACACAGCCTCCACAAACACTAACAGATAACAAGCACATCACCCACACCCACCAACACAACCTCCACATGCCACCAACAAACACATCATCCACGACCACCAACGCAGCCTCCAGAGCCACCAACACACACACACACACACACACACACACACTCACACACACACTAACATGCCACCAACAAGCACATCACACAAACACATACACACATGCCACCACCAAAGCACAAAACCAAGCCCATGCCCAACACAATCAAACCCACCAAGAAGCACATCACCCACACCCACCAACACAGCCTCCATATGCACCAACAGGCACATCACTCACACCAACTAACACAACCTCCACATGCCGCCAATAAGCACATCACCCAAAGTCACCAACACAACCTTCACAGCCACCGACACACACACACTTACACTCAGTCACATGCCACCAACAAGCACATTACGCGCGCGCGCGCACACACACACAACTCACATCCCACAAACCACAGAACTAAGCCCGTGCACAACAAACCTTCACATGCCACCAAGAAGCACATCACCCACACCCACCAACACAACCTCCACATGCCACCAACAACCACATCACCCACGACCACCAACACTCATATACTCACACACACTCATATGCCACCAACAAGCACATCACACACATACACTCTCACATGCCACCACCAACCCATAGACCCAAACCGATGCACAACACACACCCAAAGCCACCAACAAGGACATCGCCCACAACCTCTAGCACACCCTCCAACCAAATCAACCAGTGCAACGGAGCAACCTTAAACAACCATTCGAAAAGGAGAACCGCACAAAGCCTCATGCACCCAATTTACTTCAAATTTATCTAAAAAACGTAAAAAATCCCAAAGAAATCCATAAAATCAGAAAACCGCATAGAGATAACCATTGCAACCAAAAAACCTGTAAAATGCATATAGAAAAACATTGCATTAGAGACCTTCCAGCCAGAAGTGAGCCAACTCACTAACAAGCAATCCATCGGGACACTGGATGAGCAAGGGAGGAGATAGACAGAAGGATAGAGAATGATACAAGAGAGAAACTAACATAGATATCTCGGAAAAGAGAGGATGGAGAAAGGTTCTCCCGGGATCCGTCGATAGGAGCAACCGAGGGAGAGGTGAGGGAGAAGAGGCCTAGGGCAACAGTGGTCAAGCGAGGGAGAAGACAGACAGAAGGGCACGGGAGGAAAAAAAATCCCTCGACATGGATAGAAGATGCGAGCCGCAGGGTCAATCTCATAGCCATGTTTATTAGACAAAGTTGAACATTATTTTTCGTTAAGCTTCCCGAACACACGAAACAAACGCGATGGCAGCATTTTGAAAACGCAAGCCGCGGTTATAAGCTGCCCCAAACGGGGCCTAAATCATGTCCCACTGTATCAAAAAAGCAGCTAAAACTCTTGTTCAACAACATAAATTTTCCATGTTGAAGTGTTTGTTCAGAGCAATCGAGAGGAGATAAATTTCAAAGTTAATCGTTTGCATATGATGTGCTTGTAAGTATTCATACATGCAAAGATAAAATGAATAAAAAAATATAGAAGATTAATTTTATAACAATGAATGAAGAACACATACCCACACAAGTGAGACTGCCTAACCTTCTTCTAAAGAAAGAACATGCATGAATTTATAACAATGAAGAGCACACAATCATAATTCAATTGTGATGAAAATCACTAATCTGCATCTATCTCAGCCCACAGCAAGTAAGTACAATCTTCATCCATAAGAGAAAGAGACATCTCACAATTTTCTATATTTTCAAAGATCCTACCAACCATTGAATAAACCAGCGGTTGCGAATACATATAACTTATAGAAACCTTCTATACATGCAATTCTTGATTGAAAAGTTCGTTGCCCTTCTATATATGCAAGACCTATATATGCAAGTCTTGATTGAAAAGTTTGTTGCATAAACGGCTCTTCTTGTAGTACACTGGTCATTTTTACATTTCCTGTTTTTAAATTCTGAGGTGTATTTTGCCATGTCTTCTGGGAATGCAGATGTACAGAAGATAATGCAAGAATGTTCAGGTTATCTCAATCACTTCTTCATGTTCACGAAGTGCTAACCTGTTGCTCATGTAAGTTTAGAGTGGTATATTCGTTATATTTAAATTTTAGGTGTTAAATAGGTAAAATACATGATTTTGGGAGGCATGTATGTAAATACCCCTAATTTAATCTAATTGCATAAAGGCCACTCAACCCCACATCCTAGAAAAAAAAAAGACTTTATTTAAGAGGTGAACAGCAAGTAGAAAGCTGATTCAGCAAATGCTGTTAATTTCCAGCCTCTGCCAATCATGTAGCACCCACATTTTTTAAAAGAATCGACAAAATAAGCAAATTAGAAGAAAAAAATAGACAATTTGTGCCATGTCCGTGCTCATATAATGAAGAAAATATTACGTACATAATCCGCACATGCTTAGATAAGATTATGTAATGGAGAAAATGTCACGTACATAATCCGCACATGCTTACATTTATTGGGCCAGTTAATCCAGTAATTTATGAAAAATATTAAAATAATCTCCAATTATTTTAAAATTAAGTTCTTATAATCCTCTTTAGAAATCTACACAAGAAAGATAAAATAACTCGTGCTTAAATATCACTATTTTTTCTAGAAAGAATTGACAAATAAAATGACTGAACCATAAAATATTTTAATTAAGTAAATGAACATTGAGAGGGACACAATGACATAAACACAAATGTAAGCAACAATTTTATAAATTTAGTACACTAATCAAACACATAAGAGTGCAGTTATAGGAAATAAAATGTACAAAAACGTAAATAAACTAATATTAAGAGAGTTTAGCTAAAGATTAGACTCTAGATCTTTCATTTTACCCAAGCTTCGCTGAACTCGGAGATTCTTCGGTATACTTTGACAAGCTGCTGGTTGCAGAAAAGAGGAGAGGTGCAAGGGCCACACATGAGATAAATGACATTCCCCAGGGGCCTCATGTAAACTCCATCCTCCCGGAGCTGCTGGACCAGAGAGGTAGCTTCTAATGACGCATATCTACACAAGAAAGATATATTTAGATACATGCCACCCAATTCTCATGCATTTACGTATCTAACACCTATACTTTACTTTTTTAATTTTACATTTATACCATCAAAATCGTTCATATCTCGTAAAAAATAACACTATTTTAACTTGTAAGAAGTTGAATATGAGTTTTTACGTACAATTAAGATGACATGTGAAAATGGAAGTTTAGGTGTTAGATATGTAAATAATATTAGAATTGAGGAGTATGTATGTAAATCTTCCGATTAAATATGTTGACTATAGCTTAAATGAGAATGTTAGGATGAGTACTATATCCCACTATGTTGACTATTTGATACTACTGAAGCACTTCATTTTAGCCAAGTTAACTTTAAAATTAGAAGGCGTATTTTTACCTATATCCCAATTTTTTTGTATGACAGATTTAAAGTAATTGAATGTAGCATAACTAAATAATGCTTAATCTTTTTGTAGCACTGATTGATAATTTTTAGTATTACACTTATTAAAATTGCATATTTATCTTATATGATTTGTACCAATTCTAAAACTTTTATCCTCAGGTTTTCTTCATTGTTCTAACTTTTCTTTTTTTTTTTGGCAGATAAATTAACTATAACCATCTTCAAAAATTACACATTGCGGTGGCACCTCACGTCAAATATTATTCATAAGTACCCCAATAACGAATAAAAAAATGAACTAGCCTTTTGACGTACAATTTTCTATGTCTACTTTTAATCTTGATTTTTTTGGTATACATGTATTTTCTACGTGAGTGTTGTATGCCGAGTGGTTAGGGTGACAATTTGAGCCCGATCGGCTAGCAATATTATATATATATATATATATATATACACACACACACACACACACACACACACACAGCCCCAATCTAGTCTGTCGGCCATCCCGATCGACCACACCTTGCCAACCGGATACTCGGCCGACCAACTTGAACTGACTTACCACTTGGGCTGGCCACACCTTGCAGAATCGGTCACCCGGCCGACCACCTGGAGCAGAACCGGTCGACCGATCGAGGCGGCCACCCAAAGAACTAGCTACCCAACCAACCACAGTAAAGGTTGACGACCATCTTGGACTGGCCACTCCACGCTAGCAAAGACAATTATGGACTAAATTACCCCTTCCTGCTCCCCTTTAAACAGGGGTATACATATAATTCGCTTTGGTTTTTATATATATATATATATATATATATAGAGCGAGAGAGAGAGAGAGAGAGATTGTAAAGCCTAAAAGTAGGCCTCCACGATGAGCCAACGAAGCTGCCACCGCCAAAGATGTCGTCGCCAGAACTGTCGCCAACACCTACAAGAGCTACCCCAGTCTAGTCTATCGGCTATCCCGATCGACCACACCTTGCCAACCGGATACTCGGCCGACTAAATTGAACCAACTAACCGCTTGGGCTGGTCACACTTTGCAGAATCGGTCACCCGCCCGACCACTTGGAGCAGAACAGGTCGGCCAATCGAGGTGGCCACCCAAAGAACTAGCTACCCCAACCATGATAAAGGTTGACGACCATCTTGGCCTGGCCACTCCACGCTAGCAAAGACAATTATGGACTAAATTACCCCTTCCTGCTCCCCTTTAAACAGGGGTATACATATAATTCATCGACCACACCTTGCCAACCGGATACTCGGCCGACTAAATTGAACCAACTAACCGCTTGGGCTGGTCACACTTTGCAGAATCGGTCACCCGCCCGACCACTTGGAGCAGAACAGGTCGGCCAATCGAGGTGGCCACCCAAAGAACTAGCTACCCAACCATCCACAATAAAGGTTGATGACCACCTTGGACCGCCCGCTCCCTCGCTCGCTCTCGCCCTCTCTCCTCTCTCCCCCCCCAACCCCCCCCCCCCCCCTCCCCCCTTTCTTTATAAATAGAGAACCTCTTGAATATAAAAGGGGTATCTTTAGGCTCTCTCTCCCTCTCATGTTGGGAGCTTGCTCCCCTAACTTGTGTGGAATAAAAGGAGCCGTCGAGCCTGGGGACCACCCTTATTTGCCCTGCAACTGGGCAACCCTCTCTTTCTCCACTCCCCGGAATCCGGTTCTATTTTTTGGTCACAGTCCGAAGGACAGTTTTGGATTCAACATCTTAAAAGGTGAAGTGAGCATGGACGTGCTGCCAACAAGACGAAAGGTCTACTAGGTTGGAGAAGAACCATGACAGAGAGATAAGAGATCAAAACTAGATATCAAAAAAGAAGAAGATGGAGACATAATGTGGCAAGACATAAAGTAGATGTGACAAGTCAACAAAGAAAGTACAAAAAAGCAACAAAGTAAAAAATTGATAAGACATAAAGTAGAAGGGAAAAAACAACAAAGAAAAAGAAGAAGACTCCCTCACATTCCAAAGGAAAGAAGGCCACGTACAGAAGAACAAAAAGTGATAAGCACTTTCCTCACCTTACTTTGTTTACTTATCATTCATTAAGAAAGAAAGAGAATAATAAAAGAGAGAGATGAAAATAATGACAAAAAAAAAAGAGAAAGGAATAAAAAAGTCATCTCTTTTTTCACTTAAATCTCTCATCCGGGAGAACATTCCAAAAAATAAGATCACTGTCCCTCTCTCTCTCTCTCTCTCAAAGTCTCCCCAAGAAAAGAGCCAACACATTCTCTCTAAACCTCTCCTTCGAGAAGAGCACTCCAAGCCTTCGCTCCAGAGCTAGCAAAACAAACTTTCTAACTCTCCAAACCTCTCTTCTGGGACAAGCATTCCAAGGATCTATTTATTGACTTGAGTCTCTCTGCTGGGAACAAAGCTTCTTCTCCCCCTCAAGAAATCTCCAAAAACTTATTCTCAAAGCTTAAGTTGGAAGAAGCTATAGAGATGATTTCCAACCCTGAAGCCACAAAATCCGTGAAGGCTACGACGCAAATCATTCCACTAGCAAGTCTCAGCGGTTACCCCCGCGAATGCAACAACAATACTGCCTAAATTGGCGTAAGATGAGGCCAACCGGAGGCGAAGTTCTGATAAGGATAAGAAAGATTGGTAAGGGCTTGAATTGTGAGAATATTTCTATCAATAAATTTTGAAAAAAGCTTAATTATATTCTCCAAAAATCTAAACACTAGCAAACACTAGCAGATGACTATTTTTCCAAAAATCTTCTTCACAAAAGATACCAAGAAAACTGTTAAAAAATTAATGCTTATGGAATGATGCTTCCGAGACTAATGAGTTTTTCATTCTGATCGCAGCTTTGCCTCTAAGATGTAAAAAACTCGGGAGTTTCATGTACAGCCTAAAAGCAGACCTCCTCAACGAACCAACATAGCTGCCACTGCCAAAGAAACCGTCATCGGAACTGTCCCCAATGCCTACGAGCATCACCCCCATCCAGTCAGTCGGCCATCTAGGCCTATTACACCTTGTCAGCCGGCTAACCAACCGGCCGACCACACCTTGTCGGCTGGCCACATTGAACCAGTCGACCACTTGGGCTGGCCGCACCTTGGCCACCTGAAGAACCAGCTACCCGACCCTCCACAGTAAAGGTTAACGATCGGCTATCCTAGACCGGCCACTCGACGCCATCAAAGATAGCTAAGGACTAAATTACCCCACACTGCTCCCCTTTTAAACAAGAGTATACATGTAATTCCCTCTCACCCCTCCCTTCTCTCTACAAACAGAGGACTCTTTGAATATAAAAGGGGTTCCTTTAGGCTCTTTCTCTCCCCCTCATGTAGGAAGCTTGCTCCCCTTCTCCCTCATATTGTAACATATTTTGTGTGGAATAAAAGGGGTCGCTAAGCCCGAGGAGCACCCCTCTGACGGGGCAACCCTATTTCTCTTTCTATCCCTCTCTCCTTCTCCAAGAATCTGGTTCTACCCTTTGGGCATGATCCAAGGCCAGATTTGGATTCAACATCCTATAAGACTACTCCTTGAGCACGGTCCGAATGACAGTCATGGATTCAACATCCTAAAAGATCTTGTATAGCCTAAAAGTAGGCTTCCTCGACAAACCAATAGAGCCGCCACCGCCAAAGACACTGTCCCTGGAACTGTCGTCAACACCTACGAGCACCGACCCCATCCAGTCGGTCAGCCATCTCAGCCAACCAAACCTTGTCGGCCAGCTACCCAACCGGCCACACCCTGTCAGTCGGCCACCTCGAACCAGCTGGCTACTTGGGTCGGCCACTCAAAAAATCGGTTGCCCTGCCGCCCACAGTAAAGGTTGACTACCGGCGGACCGACCACTCGACACCAGCAAAGACGGTAATGGACAACATTACCCCTCGTTGCTCCCCTTTAAACAAGGGTATACATGTAATTCCCTCCCCCTCTGTTCTCTCTATAAATAGAAGACTCCTTGAATATAAAAGGGGTTCCATGAAGCTCTCTCTCTTCCCCTCATGCACGGAGCTTGCTCCCTCCCTCCCTCACCTGTAACCTAAAATTTTGCGGAATAAAAAATGCCGCCGAGCACGAGGACCGCCCCTATTTGCCTCCGGGCGGAGCAACCCTTTCTTTTTCTTTCTCTTTCTCCACGCCTTGAAATCAAACTCTATCCCTTGGGCAGCATATATATATATATATAATGTGTATTTTTTTTTCTTTGGCTAAAACCTGAAGCAATTGTCTTCGAATAGAAGGAGGATTGACTACGTATTTTACCATTTCAGTTGGATTACATCAGAGATCAACTTTAAGCCCATATCTTTTTGCTCCCATATCTTTTTGCTTTAGATATCTTTTTGCTTTAGATATGGATGCTCTTATTGGACATTTACAGGAGGATGTACCCTAGAGTGTGCTTTTCGCTAATGATATCCTTCTTGTGGATAAGACTAGAGAAAGAGTTCACAAAAAACTTGAATAATAGAGGTCTACATTGGAGAGTAAAGGCCTTCTTTCGAGTAAATTTAAAATTGAAAACGTGGAATGTAATTTTAGTAGTAGTAGCTTTAGTAGCAGAGATGTAACTATGGGTGATCAAATCATTAAAAAGTGTGAGCGTTTTATATATCTCAGGTCTATTGTTCAAAGTGATGGTGATATAGATGAGAATGTTATTAGCAGAATTCAAGTTGGTTGGTTGAAGTGGAGGAATGCACCGGGCCTATTGTGTGATAGAAAAGTACCGCTTAGACTAAAAGGAAAATTGTATACGATGGTGGTGAGACCTGCAATCCTCTATGACGCAGAATGTTGGCCTTTAAAAGAAAAGCATAAAACAAAGTTAAGTATTGCTGAGATGATAATACTTAAGTGTACGAGTGGTTTGACACTTAGAGACAAAATGTGAAATGAATATATCCGTGAAAGGGTTGGCGTAGCTCCAGTGGCAGATAAGATTAGAAAGCGTCGACTTAGATGGTTTGGTCACATTAAATGTCAACCAAATGATGATTCGATTAGGAGAGTAGATGCTTTAGATTTGACTTATGTTAAGAAAAACTGAGGTAGGCCTAAAAAAACTTTGGTGTAATGTTTAAAAAATGATCTTAATCTATTAGAATTAAATGAAAATATAACACTCAATGGGACACTAGAGAGAAAAGATTCATGCAGCCGACCACACTTATTGGGATAAAAGCTTGTTGTTTTTTGCTGAAACCTGCAGCAAGGTTCCAGGCTTGCTGGTTTGTAATATAGTTGAATGTACTCAAAGTGTTTAAGGTCAAAATTGCATCACTAAAACGGATAAACAAACACAAATGCATGCATGTAAAATTGAATGACTTTATTTATGTAAGCACATATGTAGAGACGGGAGCATGCATGACAAGCATATGCATTCATCCATGTAGAAAGAGAGAGAACAACAAATGTATCCATATATGCATGCATGATGAATTCATGCAAAAACATACACATACAAATTAATGGTAGCATAAAGACAAGATTTGTACTCATATAAGATATGTAATTGGCTCAATTTGTTTCAATGTTTCATCATAAAATAGCCTTTGATAACATAAAATACAAACCCTAAATCGGTGCCCTTTGCGTGGAGCTCAATTGCAATAAGAGTTCCCAATGCAACAACCCTTTTCACAGCAAGAAATGATGATATCCGGCGAACAAGTTTCATGTCCCATAACTGCGCCCTAAACTGCGAAAGATGCACATAGGCAAAAAAAAAAAAAAAAAAAAACATTGAAACTACATTGAATCCTATAAAAAAAACACAGAAAAATGAAAATTAAATAGCAGACCACTGTACTGCATTACTACAACAGAAATAGATATATAAATCCCATTAAATTAAAGTAATTGCAAATGATTTGGATCAACAATGAGCACCAACCAATCAAAATGCAGCCAAAAGATGTACTTCAGAAGTAATTTATGCTAGCACGGTAACAATGACACAAATTACAAAAAATAAACAACTTTCAACAGGTTTGTGGTAGTTGTTGGCAGAAACAGTGAAGTTGGCGGATTTCCTTGCAAGAAAAGCAACCTGAAAAAATTACCAAGGCTGCCGCAAAGAAGCTGGAATTATTCCTTTGCAAAATTTTCGCTCATCTGAAATGGAAAAAAGAGGCAAAAACTAGCCAAAGTTGAATAGAGAAGAAAATGCCCGGCCATTTATAAGTGGTCATATTTTAGTCGCATAGTGACTACGAAGGCATTTTAGGAAACTATATATTTTTTTCTTGAATTTTCTAGTAAAATTTAATTTCATACATATCTTTCTTTCTCATATACAAGAAGCTAATTCATGCACAACAAATGTGATCATGTCGTTGTGGAGCAAGTTATTTATTTATAACAAATAATTTTGCTTAAATTTTTTGTTATATTAATTTCATTTTAATGAAATGCATTGAGCTTATTTTTTGTTAAAATAACAAAAAATGCTGAACAAAATACTTCTTATTAAAAACTATCTCATTGCAACCTGCTCAATCTGAATTCACTATTGGTGTACGTGAATTTAATAAATGAGTTTGAGGAAATAAGGAAAGCAAAAAAATTTAGATTAAATGAAAAAATTCAAGGGAAATTTTTTGTTCAAAACTTCAGAATCTATCTTTCCCAGAAATTATAATGCGAAGCAATCGATGCCTCGATCCGGTCTGCCTTCCCAACAAGCTCTATCACGGCTGACAAGACCATAAAGAATTAATTGCTCTTGAAAACTTATTCTATTCATCAATAACTTGGTCTTATATAAAATCGTACAACATTTTACAAGTAACTCCCTAGACTTCTTCTGTATTTCCTATTTACCATTAGGACTTTAAACTAGATACAAATCTCAATAATGGTCATGTACTTGCAACAAAGGGGAATGAACGTTAGTTCCCCTAGTAGCTCATTGAGGGAATCTTTATGGAGAAGGAAAAAGAAAGTGGCTCTGAAGCTTTTATAGCATCCTAGAAATTCTGAGAAGTTGAGAACAAACTTGGTTAAGCAGAACCAAAGCAAAGACCATGCCAACTCAAAAATTGAAGGTAATCCGACCAAAAGAATTCAACAATTTAAAGACCATCTCTCTAGTATCCTTTACAATGAAGGTCATGATCATCTACAAGCAGTGTTCCTAATGAACTAGAACAAAGTTATGGGCTTTGTAGGACAAAAAAGGGAAGAGTAGTAGGTTGGCTAATCTTAGAATGCTGAGAAAAGAAGACATCCCTGCTCTCCAACTTGAATATCAAATAAAATGCCGTGTGGCCAAGATTAAATCCGTAAAAGAAGCATATCTCGTTCTGTACTTTTTTAACCAATCGGAGAGGAGCCTTAGAGGGGTTAAACTCCAAGTCGAAGTAGATCTCAGCTTTCACCTAAGATAAACAATATAATGCTCAAGACCTTGCTTGCTTTCTTCAACTTCATTAGAAGCACCCGCTGAGAGTCCCTAAATAAGAAGAGGAGACGAAAAATAAAATCAGCTAGCGTAAGGTTCACAGGTCAATTGAAAACAATTCTCTAGGCACGTTGGAGTGAGATATTATAGGACGAAAGAGCGATGAGAAAAAAAGAATGGAGGGGAAACCAAATAAAGCCATAATAAATAAAATATAAGTAATGGGAACTACATAAGAATATCCATCCCAGCCATGGATTTGGAAATTGAGTTTTTGTAACAGGAATGCCAGCATCCCAACGAGAGAAGGTTAAGCATGCACTGATACTGGAGTTAACCCAAAACACTTGCAAACGACACACGTTTTAACAAGGACGATGCAACAACAATAGCACAACACAAATAAAGATAAATGCACCTTGTGGAAATAAAAACAAAAGTAAATAATAAAGGATAGAAACAAACCTCTCAAGTAGGTGTGGTAAATCAAGGAGTGGAAGGAGCTGCAAGAAGGTGCTCGAAGAGTGGTGACCAACTGGAGAATGCAGAGACAGCCGATGGAAGGGAAGGGCAGCGCTAACAGAGGGTCGGTGGACTGGTGAGGGCGAAAGACGCTAGCAGAGGGTCGTTGAAATTTGCATATGAAAGGCGTTGGCGGGAGCTTCAAACAACTGGGGGCTAGTAGGAGAGTTGAATGGTGACTTGTCTATGCGGAGGAAGGGCGTTGGTGGGAGCTGCGAGAGACTGGGGAGAGCAGGAAGGCTGATCAGCAAACAATCTGTAAGGGAGTGGGATGATGGCAAGGCCTGCGAGCTTCTGAGAAGAGCAGGCGAAATCGGTTGACCGAGGGATCACCACGAAGAGTTAGGATGGTTTCTGAGGATGGAAGGGACTGCAGGGAGATAGCACCAACTTGAGCGAGGTAAAGCCGAAACACCACTCATAGTCGAATATAGCCCTTGGAGAGGGAATGCCTTGGTGGCACACCTAAAATTAGAGAAGGATCAAAACTATTTAGTAATCAACAAGCAATAATTACAAATAGGATGGGAGGGGAGACTAGACCAGGTAAGTAGGAAATTAGGCAAGGATTAAAGGAGAGTGGAAAGGAAAATGCAAGAATTTGAAATGTTGTCCCGGAAGGAAGGAAATGATTAGACAGGGGAGATATTAACACAAGAGAAGAAGAGGGGTGGAAGCTTCCACCCCACTTGGTTCGGTTTTGGCCAGTTCGGTTTGGTCCAACAAAAGGCAGGAACGGGCAATTATATGCGTCGGACCGAACCAGATAGCCCCGCGTCATGCACGTTCAGTATAGAGCTCTGTTTAGCTCCTCAAGAGGCAAACGAGAACATGACTAACTCCTAATTCTCCTCCCTAAGTGAGTTTCACAAAGAGGGGACTTGTATTGTTTAGTCAATGGAGTAGCGAAAGAAGTGGGAGAGTGTGAAGTGGAAGTGACAGGTGTTGCATTTAAAAGCATTGGAGATGATGGAGTAGATTAGTGGTGGACAAAAATATAGGATAGTGCAGAATAACATAGAAGAGCTCACCGCAAAGGATGAAACGGTAGAGAGAGGCTATTCATGAGCTAAAATCCCATAACTAGTTTAAAAAGCATATTAGAAGAAGCCACCAATAGGTGTGAGATGCCTTTCAAACTCTGGCTTTAACAAAAAATTTTAGTGATTATTACCCCCACTAATTTTCATAGTTAGAAGCCTAATTCCTAAACTTCAGAGGTAGCAACCATACACATTAAATGTCAAAGCTCTCCAAAAACTATTTGAATTTGAACTATTTGGATCTTGTTCAAACTTAGTTCAAACCTAATTCAAATCTTTTTTGCTCGAAGGTTTAAATATTATTAAAATCATGGTAAAAACTTCGCTCACACCTGATTCAAATTAAGGTTGGAACAATTCGTCCACATGCAGCCAATTAATTCCTTCTCCATTGAGGCCTGCCGTGAACTCCTTTTCTTTTTCACACATCTCGAATCTCATTGAAGCCTTCCAAAGCGAGGTGTCATGTACTCTTCTTCTGTAGAAGCAGTGGGTTCACTGATGAACTCTTCTTCCTCTCAAACACCGCTTATCCCATAGCAAAACTCATCTTCTCTTCTCCCGCAATTTGTATCATCTGCAAAATCCTCTTCCCCTCACACACAGTGACGCAGGACTGCAGGGGGCTGGACAGGGATTTGGTTCAGCAAGAGGCAACTAGTTTAGTAGAGAGGCTGAACCGGCCGGCCCAAATTAGGGTTGGGAGGGCTGCCGCCCCTGCCACCACCACCTCTCTCTCCCCTAATTATCTTAATTTATTATAAATATGTTGGTATTTGGTTTTAGGGTTCAATTTTGGTTGAAATTTCTGTTTGGACAGCCTCCAACGTCTTATTTTCCCTTCTAGGGTTGTATCCAATGGCGAGAAGGTTTTTCGGTTGTAACTCGTCTAAAATGGTGTATCTTCCCTTTTTGTGTTTACTACCCTCTTCATACACACCGTCTCCCTTGTTTACCCCCGTCAAGACAGCCTCAACTCTCCCCTACACCTTCCAGGCTTGCTGCAACTCTTCCCACCTCCCAGATTTGCCACACTCCCCTCAGCCACCTCCAAAATTTTTCGCACTCCCCTCCAGACCATTTAACTGCCGCAGCCCTCACTACCAAACCTTGTTGCTACTGAAAACCCCTGTAGCCCCCGCTCCTAATACAACATCACCCAAAACCACATTTCACACCTCTGCTGTCACCAACACCTCCTACACGCCTATCTACTAGCTGGACAACCGTCATCAAACTACTCATCATCGCCCGAGGGTGTCTTTTGTGTTGTTATCATTTATATTCAATTTTGAAGAGTCGTAATCTAATTGATTCTAACAGTAATATTTGCATTTTTTTTATGATTTGGGTTAAATCCAGTATCAATTTGTATCAAAGTCAGCCTAACCCTACTCTTACCTTAGGGTTTCTTAGCATCTTCCTAACCCGCTCCACCAAAAATTTTCTTTCATATTCCCAAAATATAGACAAATTTTGACCTAACTTGAATTTTTCCTTGATAATTTTCAATATCAGTAACCCCAAATTAATTTTCTTACACTTTCAATTAGTCTCATACACCATTTTTCACCTCCCAAGCCTAAATCTTAGTCATAACACTAAGAAGATACATACTCGAGCCTTCCCGGGAAAAGATATAGCAAGGATTCGTCAACTTCAGCGGAGACTGATGGACATAGAGAATGAAACTCAGGGAGAGATCATCCTCGACCGAGATCTGGAGAGTCGATGAGGAGAAAGGAACGGGGATTTGAATCCGTTCCATAGAAAAGTGCCAGATACAAGCCCCGATGCTTCAGAATTCAATATCGTAGAAGGCCGAGAGAGAAGACCACTTAATGGAGGACAAAGGTATTTTGACATTAAAGTGGATCTACCGGAGTTCGATGGAGGTATGGATCCAGACAACTTGCTCAACTGGTTGCAATTTGTCGAGTGAATCTTTGAGTAAAAAGAAGTGTCGGAGGATAAATGAGTAAAACTAGCATCCGTCAAGTTGAAGAAGAGCTCCTCCCTGTGGTGAAAAAACCTATAAAGACAGAAAAAGAGAGAGGACAACGACAAGATTACCAAGTGGAAAAAGATGAGGAAAAAGATGCAGAGGAAATATCTGGCACCTCACTACCATCTTTTGAGGCCTAATCACTTGTAGTAGTAAGATCTATCAGTGGAGTTTACGACCCAGTTTGACCAACTGCACATGATGTGCAAGTTGGTCGAGCCAGAGGAGCATACGATAGTCCGCTATCTGGAAGGCCTACAACACGCTATCAACGTGGTACAACTGCAACGCTATTGGTCACTTGGAGATGTCCAAACATTGGCATTGAAAGTGGAAATGCAGCAAAAATAGAGCAGGTAACCACCCTCAGTTGGAGACAACAACAGAAGCACGTCTCAGAGGGTCTTCAAAAAATTGGTTCGGAGAAGAACACAGCCACCCCAGTGAGAAGAAGCCTGGCAAGAGTAGCACAAATACTACAGTCACCGCCAAAAAAATGATTCGACGCAATGCATTTGGGCTCATCACCTCCAATTGCCCGACGAGTCAATTTGTGTCTTTTACCAAACAGGGTGTTGTGGATGAGGTTAGCGACGAATAGCCAATTGAAGAACAAGGTGAGGTGTATCATCTCCCACCGAATGAAGGCGAGATGCTCGTGGTTCGACGAGTCCTACAGACCAAGGATACGAGAGATCTACAATGAATTTGCCACAACATATTCAACACTCATTGCAATATGAGTTGGAAGGTATGCGGTCTCATTATCGATGAAGAGAGTAGTAAGAACGTGGCATCTAAGCAGCTGATAGAGAAATGGGGCCTCACAAACTAAAGGAATTCTCAGTTATATTCTCTAACGTGGCTAAAGAAGAAGAAGAACAGGACCAACATTGTCCGGAGGTGCATAGCGGAGTTTTCAACTTAGAGCCAGTTGCAAGATCAGGTGTGGTGTGACGTGGTACCCATGGATTTTTGCCACCTGTTGTTGGGGAGACTGGCAATTTGAGCATAGGACTCATCCTATAAAAAACTTGACATGGCCTTTTTTTCATAAGTCAATGTATACACTCACACAAAAAAAAGAAACATCTAGAGGCTATAAATATAATATTGAGCTACTAAAAAAATGTTCCCTTAAAAGGAACTAATTATCAAGAAAAACATTCAGTGCAATATTGTAGCTTATACTGTTCAGATTGGGCAAATTCTATTACTAATAGAAAATGCACAACAAGGTTACCAATACTTGTATAGAGGGAAACCTTGTTACATAAAGGGGTTAAAAATAGAATATAGTGGTTCTGAGTAGCACTGAAGCTGAAAAGAGTCATGGCCAACGGGTTATGTGAACAATCCTGGTTACAAAAGGTTTTGGCTGAACCATATAAGATTACGAATTCTCCAATAAAATTAAGTTTTGATAATAAGACAAGGACAATTATAACCCACAATCCTTTGCAAAAAGATAGAACCAAGCATGTTGAGATTGATTGCTATAGTATAGATTAAAAACTTCAATCAACAATCATTTGTGTGCCTTTTATTCCTCTCCCAATAGACTACAAATATCATTACAAATAGAACGTTCAAATTTAATTTTGATTTCTTCTTTAGCCTGTTAACAATGATTTATATCTACTCTCCAATTTGTGGGGGAGTGTTAAAAAAGGAAAGAAAGAATGGAATCCAAAAGAGCACTGGTTGGAATAGGAGGAAAAAAAGTGTACATTGCATTGGGATTATTTCACAAGAACGAAATGAATAATTAACTCTGCAAAGTTAATTAAGAGATCATTTTTTATTTAAACTCAAATTTGTATCTTATATTCTACGGCATGTTATCATAGAAATTGTGCATAAAGATACCAAATATCCCATAATTGTTATACTATTGTTCTATTAATATTAAATCTAGAAAAATATATTTATCTCCAAACTTGAACATTATGTGCATCATGCACATTGAAGGAAGGAGAATTAACTTATTGGTTTTAAAATTTTACCACCGTCTAAAACTGTCTTAAAAGTTTTTAGTCAAGGCTTGAAAGTTGCAAAGAGTTTCTATTAAATGAAGACAAAATGATGGGATTTGTAAAGACCTTAAAAAAATTACAGATTAAATAGGATAAGTGTGCATTGAAAAGTTGCTAAAACAAATATCATATCGTATGGAAAAAGCCCAACCCATGCAGTAAACGGTTAAAACAAGACTATACACACATCAAACAAAGAAAATTAATTTCCAACTTCTCAAAACAAACCTTTGAAACAGTACCCATAATTCATGAGATCCCATGGCTACTGAACCTCTACAATGTTTATGGTATGATATTAATTGAAACTAGGTAGAGGACTGCAAGGAGATCACAAACCTCTATAAGTCGTCCTTCTCCATGCTCAATATTGATATTTGTAGAAGGATCTTTAAACCATTGAATGGATTTTGCTGCTGCAGCACAACCCATAGCATGGGCTGAAAATGAATGTCCGTGCAAAAGAGCGACCAGCTGAAGGAAGACGTTAAAAGAGACTTTGCACTTTAGTTATGATTAACAAGCAAAGTTAATCGAACAAAGATTTCAGGTTTGCCAGATCCTGAAACATAAAAAAAATTGCCGCAAGTACTGCATAACGTAATTACCTTTGAATCACCACCGAATGCATTGAAAACAGCTTCTGTGGCTAAAGTTGCTGCCAGTGGAAGGATACCACCAGTCATGAGTTTCCCAAAGCATGCTATGTCTGGTAAGCAACCTAATAATTCTGCGGCAGACTACATAAGACTAAAATCAATTCTGAACCACAAAATAAAAGTCAAGCCTTTAGGAACTATTAGATTTATAACGACATTCAAATCCCTAGCCATTATTACTTGTTATTTCTTTCCTAGTTGCCTTTATTCCCTCATTATATATTTTCTATTTAATTTATTCTATTTTTATGTCTTTCCTCTTAGCTTTTTTATCTTTTTCTTTTGTTGTGCCTATTATAATTGGGTTTAAATACCCCTCTTTCTATCAATGAAATTATGATGCATGCTGCTCTATTCCAAATCTCAACATGTTATCCGGCCTAACCCTAAATCCAGTCTTCTGATTTTTCCGCCACAGTTTTTATGTGATCCTGCAGAAACAACTGCAGTTTTCCTGATTCTACAGCCACAAGTTTCCTCCTGTTGTGAGATATTTCTTCAAGAGAATTATAAAATCAAAGGATATCATCGAAACCTTAAATTTTGTAAAATTTCAATTAAACCTTTATATTGTGTGAATATTAGACTATAAAAAAGCAATATAGCCAAGTTAAATGTGATGGAAATGAGAGTTGTAAGATCAATGTGTGGCAAAGCTAGAATGGATATGCGAATAGATGATATAGAGGGATGGTTGGAACTGCAATTATTGAAGATAAGAAAATTGAAAACATATTTGGGTGATTGGGACATGTACAACAATGGTTTAAAAAATGCACCATTAGAAAGGTAGACAGGGAATTAGGAAGGAAATTAGAAAGTAATGTGAATGGACGCTATTCAAAATCATTTATAAAGAATACATCTAATATCTCAAACAACATTCAACAAGAATATACCACCTAATAACATGAAAAAGAGAGATATAGAATAATGCATAATTAAAGTGGAATAAAATTATTGATATGAATGGGAGTATAAATAACCCTTACATAAATCCTAAACCAAGAAAAACAATAAAAAGAAATAACAAGAAAAGGAAAGATATAACACCTAATATCTTCAATAATTATTTTATATTAATTATTTAGAGATAAAGAAAATAACATAAAATAGAAAAACCTAAAATAGAAAATGAAATAACTCATAATCCAAAAAAATAAATAAATAAATAATAGTTAAGAAAATAACTCATAATCTAAGAAAATAATTTACTCCCCATAACCATGTTCAACCTAGATTTGAAAAAATCAAAGAGTGGGCGAGGAAGAAACTAAGGCAGAACTTGAAGTATTCAGCCCGTACAATAGTTGTCTTTGATTGCAGTTCCTGCAGTGTCTGTAGGTAGGCGGAAGACTCTTATAGATAATGATGCAGGGGAGGTTGCAGGGAAGTAGACAACTGCAGTTCCTGCAGATAGGCGGGAAACTCTTACGGATAATAATGCAGAGGAGTTTGCAAGGAAGTGGACAACTGCAGTTTCTGCAGTGTCTATAGGTAGGCAGAAAACTCTTATAGTTAATGCTGCAAGAGAGTTTGTAGGAAAGTAGACCACAATTACCTTTAACTGCAGTTCATGCTGTGTTTTTAGGTAGGCAGAAGGCTCCAGCAAGTGATGTTGCAGAGGAATTTATAGGTAAGTAAACAATTTGCAGAAAAAAACTGACTTCTAGTTGATTGCGGTCGTCTTTGACTGCAGTTCTAGCAATCTCTGTAGTTAGAAAAAAGGCTCCTATAGGTAAGGCTGCAGAAGAGTTTACAGGGAAGTAGACAACCTGAAGAAAAAAATTGACTTCCAGTTGACTGGGGTAATCTTTGTCTACAATTCCTCTAATGAATGTAGGTAGGCGGAATACTCTTACAGGTAATGTTGCAGGGAAGTTTACAGAGAAGTATACAATCTCCAAGAAAAGCTGCAAGATATAACTTGCAAAAAAAAGGAAAAAAAGCCCCAAAGGTAGGTCTTGCTACAGAAAAAGCTTCGGAGGAGGGCCTGATACAGAAGAAAGCTCCGGAGGAGAGCCTATTGCGAGAAAGCCCTGAATGGGGGGTCTACTACAAGGAAAATTCTGAAAGAGGGCCTAATGTAACAAAAAAAGTTCCGTAGGAGGGTTGCTGCATGAAAGATTCTGGAAAAGGGTTTGTTGCAGGGAAAAAGATTCGGAGGTTCTGTGCGGGGGGCTTGCAGGTGAGCAGGTCAAGCATGAGAACTCCGAAGCTGTAGCATCAACCTTCTGCAAGACTTTGTTAATATCAGTGACTTCTGATGCTCCGTAACCGACAATGCGGCTTAGCGTGGTGCTGAGACCGACAAGAGTTGCAAGCCCATGGTTAAAAACACGAGCTACATAGGATTTAATTAGGCGAATGTTGGAAAATTTGATGTTGTCGTGGGAGGCTGTGGGGCTTAGGGAATGGTTGTACTCGATGACTTGGGCAGCACGGAAAGTGGTGAGATAATCTTGTCTCCCAATTTAGGCATGTTCTTCCAGATCCTCTGTTACCATGCAACAAAGTCAAGAGAATTTTGATGGGCATAAAATCATAAACAAGGAGTTTTGCATCCTTCCTGAAGTAATAAGCTTTGAGAGGCAACAATTTCTCATGCTCCATGGATCCCACAACTCCAATTATTTCCCAAAACTCATGCTCCAACAAATTAATGTCCTTCAGCCACTTCACGACCACCACAGACCCCATCTCCAACAATGCCTTGTAGGTCGTTCCAAATGTTCCCTTTCACAATACCTCAACTGACGCGTGCAACAAATCCTATAGGTCAAAATCTCCATCTCCCGACCTTTCAAAGAAAACAAATCTCTTCCCAATCTCTGGCTTCTTCTCTGCCACCCCGCCCGCCATAGCCACCACGACCGCTGATTTACCTCTCTCCCTACCCCTAGGCACTATCTCTGGCGGCTTCACTATCGTCGATACTGCTTCCACTGTCGTATTTTTACTCTCGTTGTTGCTACGACACACGAACACCAAGAAAATCAACAATATGAGCACCACGGCAGCAGATCTAACAGCAATTTTAGTGATGGTGCCATAAGAGAATTTACTCCCGCTACTATCGGAGGCAGGTGCAGTGCAGCTTACATTTCTTCCTCCAGGGGCCATCGCCAGCACCAGTGTCGGAATTGGCGAGATCTCTCCACACAATGACATCCCCATAAACGTACTCGCTGATTCCTTCCTGAGCTTGTAAGAAACCGAGTCATTGAGCCGATTGAAAGACTCATTGAAGTACTCTAAATTTGAAAGATCAAGGATCCAGCTACTGCCCTCTATGGAGAAGAGCACCGTCGGAATGTTGCTGGAAAATGGTTTTCCTGCAAATAAATGTTGCAGATCTTGACAGCGCCAAAGAAATTCGATAGGAGGCTGCCGGAGAGGTCGTTAAAGCGGAGGCTAAGGGTAAGAAGAGTGGTAAGAGAAAGGCAGAAAGTCCAATGCTATCGACTTCTCATTCTAGACAGAGTCGACAGACAGACAGAAGTTATCCGGCGGAGGAAGAGCCTGCAGCACGATAAAGATTTGTCGGATGCAGGGAATAGGCAGTTTTCTGATGGTAAGAGGCTCTAAGATTTTTTTGCTGACTCTAATTCCAAGTTGAAATTTAGAATAATGCGAAATTAAAGCGGAATAATTTTATTGATATGAAAGGGGTATAAAGAACCCTTATATGAATCCTAGATTATAAAAGACAATAAAAAGAAATAACATGAAAAGGAAAATTATAACACCTAATATCTCCATAATCAATTCATATTAATTATTTGAAAATAAAGGAAATAACTCCTAAACCAAGACAATAAATATAAAATAGGAAAAGAAATAACTCCTAATCTAAGAAAATAATTTATTCCTCATAACTTCTCACATGAATAAATTATTTCCTAATATAAATTCTAACAATATTCAACAAGAATGAATAAAAAATGAGGATTCATAAAGCATAACCTAAGTAAAAAGGACAAGAGCAATGATGATGTAGTAATGTCATTAACTTGAATAAGAACATGCATTTCTATCATAGAGACCCCCATTAACTTGTGACAAGTTATTAAGCATCTATGTTTATTCCATTCATAAAATCCAGATAGCAAATGTACAAAGGAGGTAAGAGGTAATACAATTCAATGATAAAATAACTATTTGGATCAACACCCAATAGTTTAAGTTCTTATGTACATCAGATTATCATTATAAGCATGGAAAGAGCTCTCTTTCAACTTTGAATCAAAAAAACCCAAATAATATTATTTTAAGTCTCAAAAGGCGTATGCTTTCAGTTCAGTGGACTTGGAGGGGGAGAAGTGTTAGAACATAGAAACATTATTTTTGGAGCGCAATATAATAGCTATAGGATTCAGCTTTGATTTTTTACAAAATTTCCCCAAAGCAATTTAGGCAGCATCAAGGTGGAGACAGAAGTAAAGTTTAGAGCAAATCAAATGAATTTTTACCTCGTGTCCAAGACGCCAAAAACCTGAAAACACCTCATCAAATACAACTGGAATTCTACGATTTCTGCACTCACCAACAAGCATTCGCTGAAACAGTGGATCAATCATGTGCATTCCACCAGAACCATGTATAACTGTACAAGAACAGTTTGGTGGTTGAGATTCTATCAGACTTAAATCCCAAAAACTTTTTTATCATAAAACTCAAATATGCCAAATTCTTAAAATTGATTTTCTCATCCAATTTTTGCATTCAACCATTACTATAAGAAGTAGAAGAACAACCATTCAGAAACTACAGAACTCAAAAGAAACTTCAGTTACCTAATTCATAAGGTATGATAACTAAGTCATGGGAATCTGAATAGTTTTTCATCTAAAAAATGTGAAGCATGACCTATCACTAACAAAAATATTCCAATAATACAAGAAATCGCATTCAGAAATAGTCTACATGTCAGCAAAAAACTTTCTGACAGGAAATGAGAATTATTATTTTTTCGAAAATGAATCATTGAAGAAAAAACAAATAATCAGGCTAACAACAAAACTATTTATCAAGATGTCTAATTTTGATTAATTTAGTTTGGGCTGCAAGTCGTTTTCTCAAGGATCAAAAATCCCAAATATACTAGTAGAAAATGTATGACTCCTGTTGTATAAGTGATGTATGTTATGTTCTATATACATAACTTGACTGTGGTGGCCTGACAATTTGATATTACGGACATGGATTAAATTCAGAAAAGGCTGTGAGAGAAACTATGGTATAAAGCATAAAAAAAAGTCAATCCCTCATAACCTTGCATTCTGGAGCTCAAAATTACTTCTAGAACCAAATTTTTTTCAGTAATCAAGAACAAATATAGAAAATGCCAAACATTATTCTAAGGTGTGAGAAAATTAGCGGAATTTTCTAAGCATTTCAGGCAAACCTCTGATTCCATACACATACATAAGAATGAAAAGAATTTACAAAAGTAGAAGTTCAATTACCCGGTTCTATAATTAGTGCTCCAATATAGTTCTGTGGATTTGAAGCAGCAAATTCCAATAACTTATTTGATATGTAAGACGAATAGCATAGAGCGATAGCTGAAGAGTCCCTATCCCTACTTAACAATTCACCGTAAGAGCAAAAGTCTGTAAAGTTGCAACAAATTTTATGACATTGTTAGACAAAAACTACTAATCTACTGCAGCAAAATTCTAATGTACTTACGCAGATCATCTTTCCTAAGGTTGTCAGACTCAAAACAATCTGGTATAGAAAGATTCCAAATCTCCATGGAGACTAAAACGGTAGGAGGCTCCAAAAATAGCCCTTTTCCAGAATACCTACAAATATTTAATGACTTATTATATTTGGTAACAGGTAAATAGAAACTCCATAATGGATAAGAAGTACATCATTCTCCAAATATAAATTGTACTAACCACAAATAGAAGCAAAATATGCCATGAAATGTGGGTTTCAGGTAGTTAACCCCAAAGTCAAGCATATGAAGAAGAAAAGAGGAAAGCAGAAATGTGGATATATGTACAAAGTATTCAGCAATCAAGAAAGAAAAAGTAATTAACCTACCTGGTCAAATCATGGTAAACTAAATCAGATTCATAAATAACAAAATTAATTTTCCCAAACATATTAGAACAACTTGAAAGGAACATTCAAATAATCAAAAAATTAATTTTGCCTAACACATTAGAACAACTTGAAGAAACATTAAATCATTAACAAGTGACAGCAATTAGAAGTAGAACATATATGCATACATATTAACTTCCTAAATTTGCAACATGCATAGATATGTCCCAAGAGTGAAGTATGTTTAGTAAAAACTTCATGTATATACCAATTTAAATTATAGCGTTGATGTAAGGTCCATAAAGCATTTGTCCAAATAAATAAACATCAAAGAGATTAAGGTGCAGAGCAATTTAACTTATATTGAAGAACCAGTAAAAGTTGAACTTTCGAGGTCAAAGAGAGGATAAAAGATAGATGATTTATAAAAAAAGTAAAAAGAGGCACAAAGAAGACAGAAAAGGAACCTAAAAAAAAGATGATATGAGACAAATTCTCTCTTGTTTAGCTGGTCAACAAGAAAGCGAATTTCAAGAATGAAATTTCAATATAGAGTGAAGAATTGCAATGTTCAAAAGTTTGCTAAAGTAAAATAATAAACTTATTGAAAACATTATATGCCATTTTTTCACATCTCACTAAAATAATTAAATATTTTTTTATAAGCTCCTTCCGTGTTAAAATAAAAGATGATTACAAAAGGGGAGGGGAGGAGGATCCCCTCTAAAAAGAAAAAAACATACATAAATTCCTAGGGGTTCCTCCATCCACATTACAACTTCACCCAAAAAAGAAGAAAATAAAGAAAAGTTTTCAAAAACCCAAAAATACATGTAATCAATCAAAACGTGTACCCAAATTTTGAAGTATACCTCGTATGGGCATCTACAAAAAGAAATCTGAGATAAATTGTGATGTAAATCAAAAGAAACAAAACTTTGACACTTAGAGATCAACCACCCATCCAATCTCCTCGAGCCATAATCTGCAGCTAAACAAAATTTTGAAAACAACAGCAGTAAGGGAGCCCCCATACGACATCCAGGCTGAACCAGAAATCACTTTATCCAAAACACCCTTTCTCGAAAGCAAAAAGGAGGCTCAAAAACAAAATCTGAAGAAAGTAAACATGAAACAGGAGCCAATGGCCTCCCAAGTAGATCAAACCCCACAAAAAATTGGAGCCATGGGCCTCCGAGATATTCTCTTTACCCACTCCCTAAGATCCAGATGATGCATGTTAGTAAATATAGCTCCCCTTAACAGCCATGTAAAGCCTCAAATTGCAAGTAAAATAGCTGCAGGTATTCCCCTTTGAAAAACCAAAATGTTCTCATTCAGAAACAGTAAAGCAAGAAAATAGAATAAGGCAGTAAAAATTGCAAAGTTCCTCCCCCACAGATCAAACCCATCAAACTGGACCGAGAGACAGAGCCAGGGGAAATAAACAAAACAGGGAGCAAACAAAGAGTCGTGGGCCCCCCAAGCAAATTAAAACCATCATATCAATGGAGCCATGGGCCTCCAAGAAATTGTTCATGCCAAACCGCCTGACAAGATCCTTGTGAAGTTCCAAGCCATAGTGAAAAAAGTAAGAAAAGTAAGAGAAGGAAATATCAGTTCCCCGAAGGTTCACAGCTGATAGTGAAACCTTCATCAAACAACAAATATCACACTTCCCTACGAACATAAGGAGCATCGATGTTGTCTCCAACTAATAACGTATGAAGGGGGGGATCCCACCTGACAGACATTTGTGGCACTACCTAAAGTAGCTAGCCAGTTAGTTGGTTGATTGCCTTCTCTAAAAATGAAACTCCACACCAAATTCATATTGGAGGTCAAACTTTTGATTCTCTTGATATAATAAAGAACATCCCAAAGGGGGGGGCCTGGACTGAGAGATAGAGCGTACACCTAACAGACATTTGTGGCACTACCTAAAGTAGCTAGCCAGTTAGTTGGTTGATTGCCTTCTCTAAAAATGAAACTCCACACCAAATTCATATTGGAGGTCAAACTTTTGATTCTCTTGATATAATAAAGAACATCTCAATAAGGCTCCAAACCCTTTGAGAAAATGTGCATCAAAAACTGATTATCACTTTCAACAATGAGATTATTCCAGGAAAGATGAGCAGCCAGAATGACCGCCAACAAAAGAGCCTGAGCCTCAGCTTCTAAAGGAGAATCTACGCAAGAAGGGGAGGATAAAAAGAGAATGTAATTTCCTGTATCATTCCGAGCCACACCCCCACCACCAGCACTATCAGGTTTCCAGCTCCCATCCGTGTTATATTTAATCCAACCTTGGGAGGAGGTCTCCACCTGACCAAAACAGTT